TAGTAGTACTACATTCAGGATTTGACATCAACATTAAGCCAAACGTTTCCTCCATAAATGTGTCAAAGCTTCGATTTTCATCCTTCTTTAAATTAATGTTAAAATCTCCTGTCAATATTGTCGGCATTGTATTAGGATCTTCAGTGTCCATAACTGAAAACATCTTTGTATAATTTCTCAAATGACTCAAAATAAATCTCTTACAATCATCAATAGGTGTGTGGTTACAAATATACAGGGTTACAATTAAAACTTTTTCACCATTGACCATACACTCTCCCGCACAGATATCACCTCTCTTTTCAACTGCAGCTATTCTGTAATCTGCTCCATCCTACTTAGGTAGTTTCTTCAACAGATGTGGGGTAGCCATGGTAGTTGCTCCATGTTTCTCGTACATTGTCACTCCGCCTGCTCTTTGTTTGTCACGCATAAATTGCGTGATGCATTTATAACCTTCCAAATTTACAGTTTCATTGTTGTGCTCCTTGCGATTTTTGTACTCCCTTATACGTTCAGCATTAGTTTTTGGTATTTTGTTTTGAAACTTTAGGTTCATTATTTAATACTTCTATTTTTTTTACGTCTTTTAGCTTCAATGTCATACATCTTGTACATAGTATGACGCAACAAACTAACACAAAAACAGATTACTTAATAATTCTTATATAACATACGTGCTTGTGATATTGTAAACCGTTTTTACCAGCACAAAATTATCTACTCCACGACGCACTTCTTCTACAAGCGATTCACAGCTCAGCTCTTTCCGCAATAACGAAAGCGGATTGTTGGCGGCAGTAATGTAACACAACAATGCCGAGTAAACAGATGATGTTTCCTAGGTAACATAACAATGCAGTTACACTTTTTCGTATCCCTTTTTCGTAACACTTTTTTGCCGAATAACCCTTCCTAATAGACGTAATTACGTCAAAAAGTGTATGTCCAAAAATTATGGTCTCTTTAAAGTTAGGCGGCCATATGTGAGTGTAATTTCTCAAACTAACTCTTCAACCGTAAGTTCATGTCTAAAATGTAAATCGATAATTAATCATATTTGTATAAATATGTGAAAATGCAATGAATCTGATTTATGAGGACTTCTGGAAATTATTTAGAGTTCCCAGTCCAATTCTTTCTATCTTCGATGTTAATAAAATAAACACCTGAGAAAGCGTGGTTAAATAAAGGAAAATATACATATATCTCTATGTAAAAAATTTATTACATTTATGTAATAAACACAGGGCACAAGTAAATATGCATAACTATATTATATTTATTAATCTTTTCCACAGCAATCCAAGGGAGAACAGCATTTTCAGAATGTTTTTGATTTTTTGTTCTTCTGGATTTTCTGTTATTTATTAATTATGTATATTCATATTTTATTTAACGACGCTTTCATTGTCTTCAACTATATAACGTCGGACACTTCTATAATAATCAAATACTACGAAAGGGACTAATAGTCTCGGACAATTTCAAAATGCTTAAATATAGTAACTATATAAAAATTATTCCGCTCTACTAAACGCATATATTCAATTATGTCAAGAAGAATGAGATGGGCTGGGCATATAGCGCGCATGGATGGGACAAAAGATGTGCACCGGTTATTGGTCGGGAAGCCTGAGGGGAAGAGACCGCTGGGGAGACCTAGACGTAGATGGGAGAATAATCTTATGCGGGATCTATGGGAGATAAGAGTTGAAGAGGTTGGATTTTGCTGGCCCAGGACAGGGTCCGGTGGAGGGCTTTGGTTAATTCGGTGATGAACCGTCGGGTTTCGTAAGCCATCCAGTTAGTTATTTAGTTAGTTTATCCAGTTGTGTGTGTATTTAAGTGTTTCATTTTACTGTGATTAAGTTTCATTACTTCTCATAAACATAGGTTATAAATGATTACATATACACAAACACATGATCATAACCGCGAACCAATTTAAGCCCGTGGGCCGTAGTTTGTTGCACATTACATTAGTTAAACAACTGTTTTATTTTACAGATTTGCATCTAAATATAATACGCCTAGCAGATAAATACGGTGCAATTTATCGCTTCTGGCTGGGATCTGAACTCTACATTGTACTGCAAAATTCAGATTATATACAGGTATGTGAAATACATAATCATTAAATTTCTCACTCCAGTGATTCTGAAGACGTCATATTTAATGTTTTGCAATTAAACTGCCTTTACATCGAGGCCAGTCAAGTGCCGGGTCAGAGCCAAGGGCCGACGATATGCTGATTGTCCACGGTTATTGCATATCACATCATAGGTCAATTATATTCGAGTATGAAGCAATTCAAATTTATCGAAGTTCAATGCCGCAAACAATGTTAAGATTCTTTGTTACATGTCACTCCCACTTCGAAATTTCGTGCAATCGATTTATTGTTATTGTTGATGATTGTATAAATATTCAAATTATGGGTTTGGGGTTGTCTCCAATGGTATAATATACAAAACAGATTTCGTGAAAATCGGGAAATTGGTTCAAACGATTAGACAGACATCCGGAAGTCCCTGTTGCGTGGACTTTGTACTATATTTTAGTACCCAAGAACTCAGCGGATACCACAAGCTAACATGCACAAAACCTTTCTGCTAACAAGTACACACCTATACACTTAAATAGCTTTTTCTCTTTTTCACAAGTCATTCACAATAATTCTGCACACATGTCCCTACAACCTAATTATTAGTTCAGGTTCAAATTTTTATATTACCAGTTTAATAACAAAGTAAATTAAAGAAGAGATTTTCGTTTATATACATGAACACAAACGTGTATGAAATTCAGACCTGTATCATATATGCATACGTACATACGCAGATCCAAATATGAAAGTAAACTTTAAGAATATCAGATTTTTAAGTCCTGCTCTCATAAAGATCGTTCCCAAGAACTCTCACGTTTATGTTATGTAAATAAGCTGATGTAAGGACCAAATAGACATCCTCGTATATGCTACGTACAGTATAATGAGCCACCGGTGCATCAGAAGTTATAAAGCCGCTTATGTCTGTTCATTATTTCTCTGACATTAGAATGGAGGGAATTAGAAATCAGGCTACACTTATGCGTACATCTTGAAAAACAGTTAAAAAATTACTTACAATTTTAAAAATAAAGTGAAATAAATTTGATCTACGTATGAAATAAACCACGGCTTTCACAGGAGCATGGCGAGGATATATTATTAATTATTTATTTTAATATGGCGACGTTTTATCGAGTAAGCCTTCAGTGATGGCTGTCTTCTGGGTTTTAGCTCCGCTTAGTTTGGTATACCACACTACAAGGTGATAAAATCAAGAAGACAGAATATTCGTACTCATCGCCGTGATAGCCTCAAAACTTACAAGCGCTCGATGTTCCGCCGACAAAATGTCAATGGAAATGGAATTCAGTATCGCTATAGGAGACGTTCGTATCGATATCGAATTGTCTTATCGGTTTAGAGCTTTGTAATTGCTCCGTTACGCAATGGAGTACTCATATGTCAGTTACGATGGCAAGATCTACTTATAAATTATACCTTTAATTTTTTGTTTGCTTTACACTTCTGCCCAAAAATTTAAGCCCTTTTTCCCAATAATAGAGTGAAAAAACTTCTATTTTCTGCTATGCACACGGAGTCCTGATTTTCTAGTACACTAGTGCCGAGGTCAAGAAAGGGTGAACCTATTCCACCACTACCCCACGTGTCATTAGTAACAGGGACAACTTTAGCTTTAAACCGGAATGAAAGTGGCAAGTTGTATATATAGTAGGATAGTATGAATATAGATCATAAGCCATATAAAGCGGAAGGTGGTGGATTGTATTCGTCTTTCTCAGAAAATAATTCAATGGCAACATGCTAATGACCCGACCAAATTACTTCTATGACTTTAAAATATCGTGAAAACTTATGGCAGCTATAATAAGCTGTAATAAGACTACGTTCCAGTACAGCTATCAAGGTCGCCCTAGCAATGTGCATAATATAACTGAGGTCTGCAACCGCTTACCAATCCATTTATTGTTTTATGTTAATTCTGTACTTGTAATGAATCCAACTTTTATGCGCTAGGTCACTAGGCTTGATATTATCCACTCATTGTCGTGTTTTTGTCGGCTTGAAGTTTGACCCGCGCCAAGTGGGAGTTGTTACATTTCATTTCGGGGCAAAGATTTAAATTTTGATTGTCAAACCGTAAGCATGTTTACGGTGTAAAAGGAGTTTTGCCGACTGTTGCAACACAACACTTTGTGAGCTTGAGAGATGTGGACGTACAGTAAGAGACTGTAATCTTGAGACTTGCAAGGAATGCAGGAAGTCCGAAGAGTTAAAGGCAGGCGCTATCTTTCCTACTTATTCCTCCGCCCCACAAGTCTCAAGATTACAGTCTCTTACTGTACGTGCGGAGGTGGCAGTGATTTGTAGGAGGATTGTGAAATTAATAAAGTGGTTGACTGATTTGTTACGAACTGGCCGTGAACACAACTGAGATGAGTCGTTGCCTACCGACTAGCAGAGCTAAGCAAATATCCCTGAGAGATCCCGAAGACCCAACAATCCCTACCAGCAACATCGTAGCGGACGCTGTGATCTACCAGTCCGTGGAAACGAACGGTTACAGGTTGTTACAGGTATAAGCAGTCCACAGCTGTATTCTGAAAATGCAAGATTTTCGAAACAAATGTTTCAACATTGTTACAAAATTACCATAGTTGAGAGCCACCAAAACATAACACTGCGACCTTGAAATTCATTAGATTCTTATCCCGGGAAATTTGCGCTTTTAATCACAAATTGAAACACGGATAAACAACCAGGTGTAAGGCAAATGCAAGAAGCCTTTATACATTCGTGCATCTCAGGATATAATAATCAGTCATCTTTTTTGATTGTCATTAATTGCTGTGGAACTCCGATATAATGAATGCTGGTGTCGAGGGACAGCTTCAGCGTTATAAGCTACCTGCGTTACAATGAAATAGACGTATATTTAACTTTGGAATCCCTGATATGATGTTTTAAAGTACATTTAAGACCAGTGCTACTGGCACAGCCCACTGGAAATTACTTACATTTATGCCTTCTTGCGAAAACAGTCATATAATATATTTTGTCATAACTAATGACTGCAGTTTTTTTCAGAATATATTGCTTAATATTAACCAGATACAACAAATGAAGGTGTTCATTATCTGTCTGTTGTTCTAAACAGGTCAGTAGAAGGATGGAGCTGGACAGTAATCTAACACTAAGAGAGGCATTTCTTAACGTTTCTTAAAACACAGATGGTGTCTTACTGATGACACAAACTCATTTTCATAAAAGGGGGCAAAAATATAGCATGTCATTCAAGTACATCACAGGCTGAGAATTCATGTTTACACACTTCAAACATTTACTAATGCACAATGGTTTCAACTTGTTATCACCAGTATAACTGGCTGGCACACAGCAACAAAGTCACTTCTTAGTTACTGGTAATTTCTGCTTTGCTGGGTGTTTTTAAGATATAAAGATTTGTTTGGATAAGGAGGCCAAGTTTACAGCAACTTGGTCGATCACTTCTTGATAGAGAAGCATATATAACCAAAAACAAAATCAAATTTCAGTTTCATAGAATATTTCAAGAGATGTAGCTAAGCTGGATTTATCAAAAATTATTACCTTTCCCCAGTTCTCAAATCAACTGTTTATCAATTGCTTAGTGAAAAAACTTTGTATAACATAATTTATTATGCCTAATGCTCATCACCTTATTGTTTAAGATCATTCTGTCGGATGCCAAAAATGTTGATAAATCTTCAGTATATGACGTCCTGAAACCCTGGCTTGGCACAGGGCTTATTACGAGCACAGGTAAGTAAAAGTACTTGAAATATACACTGGCCTACAATCAATGTAAAGTATTGCAGAGACAAAGTTGTCCCACTACAGACTATGCGGGCAAATGTTGTCTGAAATTTAACAAAAGTAGTGAAATTTCCCTTATCAACTATCGGAATCAATAGGTAGATTGTGGTTTACTTAATGAAGTACACAGGAATTAGTAGTACAAATTATCTACATCAACAGAACAATGTGATTTTCAGTATCATGTATCTTTTCTCTACAGCAGCTACGTGAATTCCTTTACAAAGCTTCATACGTATATTTACATGAACAGAGGGTGCTTTATTTCCACGATCAATCATTTACTAATAATGTCAACAGAATACAATACAGGCTGATTCAAAAGGTTAGGGCCAAACAAGGAGCGTATAGAGGGACTCAGAGAGAACAACTTTCGAATAGGAATCCATCTCCTCCGAAGTTATCCTGAGTCAGTCGAGGCCATTGAAGGTAGGGAAGTCTGATA